AACCAAGGAGACAAATAAATTACGACATAACTGTCCAACACGTGTTATAAACTGGACGAACCAGTCTAGTTTAATCATGATTGGTATCCATTAGGTAGTGTCTCTTGCATATTTAGTAGTCTCCATATTTGGTAGGTATTTTTAATTAGCAAGACGTTTTGTAATATAGATGTCGATTTACATGAAAAAAAATAAGATAATATCTCCCTAGATAACCTACATTGAAATTTTGGAAACTGTAAGATGTCTGCATATATCGGAAATAATGAAGTACAATGAATGGCAGATAAGGGAAACGACAGGTGTTTACAGTCATAAAAAGAACGTTATTAACATTAAATGTCAAACTTAACGATAACAGAATTCAACATTATGTCTGCAATTGAAAATGCGTCAACTAAAGATAATAAATGAAACTAATAGAATGGTGGTGTTTATTCGACGAACCTCGATCCATCGTATTTTTTTTCTAAAATGTATTACGTTTAACCCCAACAGCCTCTCGTGAAAACTTACAATAATCACTCACTGCAATACATAACGTAGATATCATATCACCAATCGTCAACATTCGTCTCAAAATGAACATGTGTTTTCACTTGTCGGTGTTAGTTGTTTTAAGCCTTAATTATAACATGCAAAGTCACGGAAAAGATTCCGGTAGTCACGTAGCACGAAAATGCCAATCAATGCTTCACTGTCAGGTAATTTCTCCCTTGATTGTCTTTAGTTTAGGTCAGGTGATTATTATTTTTTTCCCTGATGTTGTTTGCTTGTTTAGATTTTACCAAAATTTAATATCTTTACTATTTTGTGATAGGCGATAAAAGTAATGGTTGAAGCGCCAACGATCTACAGATTACTAATTAAATGTAATCGACTATTCACAAAACATTTATAAATGGTCGTACCACTATACATTCTCTTCGGTAGAAATATTGTGCACGATTTCACTCAAATATTTTACGAAGAATCTTATATACCAAATAAATATTAACGAATGATTTACTTAGTCGTAGTCGTAAAGCATTCTGTGTATGCTTCAATTTCAAATTGAAAAACACCTGAAATCTGCGCATATTGATGGACAAGTCGCTCAGTTAGTTTAGTTAGATAATGGTTTTGAAATTCAATTGAAACTAAGCTAGGCAGGGCAACCCCTCTCACCTCATATACATCGTGCCGTTCACCGAATAAGGTTACAATATTTAGAAATGATTTATAATTTCCAGAAAGTGTGGGAACGAGTACATAGTCAAACTGATTTTTATTTTGACGATTGAAAACCACTAAAAAGAGCAACAAAGAACACAGGGGATTTGAGGATGACGTCAGGGGGCGAGTTCCACCGCCGTAATTCCCGTGATTGACTGCGAAAACTGTGTAACTGTGACTGAAACACGTTGTTGATAATGGCGACTTGTCACAAACAGCCCCGAGACACCTGGATACTCTGGCAAGCATGGACAACGCCGCCGTGAGAATGTCAATTAAACATGGATGTAAGCATACCTTTGTTGAGATTTTTTAATTGCCAATGGCGACAGATTTGTTGTGTCTCTATGGTAACACGGCCGTAATTGTCGCAACAATGTTTTAATCCCCGATACTTGACGTCGTGTTTTTTTATGAATGACACACGTCAAAAATAAAACTATACCCTATACTGAAGTAAGTTGTAACCTTTTTTTTAATTATTAAAAACGTGTGTTTGTCACGGTCGTAAATAATGTGACTACACTGCATACACAACAAAGCAAGACAATAACGTATGGCACAGTTTGGCATTAGCGGTAAAACATTGATACACTGGCAAATCGACTTTTCTCGGAACAGTTTCTCTCTAGAATTAACCATAGCAACGGCAATTACCATGGTAAGGCCTTAACAATTGTATGAGAGTGTGACGCATTGGCATAAGTTGATGATGATTTTGAATAAAATAATATAAAATATAAAATCACCTAAATATATTTAATGTCCAAATCACTGAATTAACTACTAACACCCTGTTGTGAAAAAAAAAATATTATTGATATTATTGACTTTGTAGAATACAAAAATAACATAATATTTAGTTTTAAACAAACAGTAATTTGTTAAAACGCGTATTTAAAATTACCCTGAGTGTTATCCTGCTGCTATATATCATAATTTGTTCACCCAGCGTCACCACGCTCCGAGAAAAGTGAGATGTAAGGTGTATCTATTGGCATAACTTTGTATATATTTCCTTGAACAGAATATTAAATCTCGAACTTTTTAAGCATATTCCATGTATTTGCTCGGAGTACACGGTAATGGCATTCGGATAACACGTAATTTCATTGTTGTTGTTGTCCTTAACGTTTATATATATATATATATATATATATATATCTATAGCAATTAATGACACTAACGTGACACGTGTATAAATACTATGCTTGTGTTCTGAAGAGAACGTCTCCACTTTAAAACAAATCGACTGATAACGTCACATCGAAGTTCCGTTTATCAGTTGAAATTCCTTTTGAACATTACCATTTTGATACGCAGGTAAGCCAAATTATTGCTTTAAGGAACACTACCTGACCAGGGTGGGACTAGTACTTGTAATCTGTTAACACGTTAAATAGAAATTTGTTCGAAATTAGTTCAAACAAAATACTTACCGAATACAAATAATGAAATTTTAGAATATGACGTCAATAAAATTGATAAAAACATGATAAATTGAAAATAAAAGAGTAACGACCCAGCCGAATCAACAGCGGTTACTTTTAGTGCGTGTATTTTGCAAATCTCGCAGATTTAACAATTATTAGTTCCACGTGTCCGCTCTCCATGGTTAGTATTGTATGGAATGGGAATATTGATGCGCAATTTAAACGTGTCGATTTCACCTTATTTTCGGCATAACAAATGGTGCCATGCTTTTAACAACTCAAAATCAATGTACTGACGTCATTATGCCTTGCAGCATGTTACAGTCTGTTGAAACAAAAGATGAGAAGAGTGTTGACTGGGACTTGAAGATGTTCTCAATAGTGTGCATTACTAGAGGCCAACGACATTATGCATATAATCGTCATTCCCGACCACCGTTTACTTTGCGCTATCGCACCATCGGTCGATTCCAGTCAGTCGACTCGTGGAATTACAATTTATAGTTCACTTTCACTTTTATTTACACATACTTAAGAGTCTATATGTTTTATTAAGAGATAATATTTGTCAAATATTGATATAAAGTTGGAAGATTTGATACATATTAAATATGTGTGTATGTATGTGCGCATGCGCATTTTCGTTGGAACCCCGCGTAACATTTTCCATTTTTCATGTGAATCATCAACGAGTTATCGATTGTTTTTGTATCTTTGGTGAATTTTTGTTTCGGTCTCGGTTATTTATATCAAAATCTCCTTAGTTTGTTTGTGTAATATCAACAATGTATTAAGGCATATATTTGCTTAAATGCATGCCAATAGCACGCACGCAGCCGCAAATACGCAACGTGTTCTGAATATTCAATTATCAAGTCGACGAATGAAAAGTAACGAGGAGTTCACATCAGAGGTCACAATGTGTCGATTCACGTACGACACACGCGTCGTGGGAGCATTGTTGTGCACGTGATCGCGGTTTTAGATAACATGGCGCATATTGAGACCACATCCGTTGCACACGTTCACCCCGGTACAGATACTGACAGAGTCGGCGATTAAATTGAAGATTTTTCTTTCAACGCGAAAAATTCAAAATATGATTTGAGAAATGATTTGAAATTACCAAACCTCTTTTCATTGTATTTTCAATATGATTGTTACGTCGTTATGCAAAGATTACTTATTAGAATCATATCATCTGGTAGACGTTTGGCTATATACTATATATACTAGTATCCATACTGGTCACGTGATTCGAGCAAGTCGATTGTAGGATAATAACATGCAAGTGAAATCGAAGATAACATGTACCCTGTCACAGATGTATGAATTGACAATACCACAAGAAGAATTCGTGACAAGTAAAATCAATTCTTGGCAATGTTATATACATTAATTACTTAATTCATAGTTTCTATGCCATGAGTAATGAGAGTCAATTGAGCGATTTTAGTAAACAGCTTAAAGCAAACCGGGAACTCTATAAAACTAGACAGAAATTTATTTTCTAGGTATAATCTTGTGCGGAGTTTGAAATAAGAGTTGTGCACCGAGTGTTATTATTATTTGTACACATATATCTCTCGAATGTCGCCGCTGTTGTTTGGGTTAGTGTTACCATGGAGCTAAAAAAAATCTTTTCACGGTGTTATCGAAATGACGTAATTATTTATTGACACAACACAAGCACAGCAGTAGGGTTACTAAAACTAAAAAAAAAACACTTTGAGCTGCACAATATCACAGCCTGAAGCCAGTGGATTCATTGAAACAGTCAAATTGCGTTATAGTTTTTTTGTTTTTTTATTTGGGGGGCGGGGGGTAGTGTTATCGCTCCGAATTGAAAAGCACAATAACCCAACCATATGGATTCCCTCAAACCGTTGAATGGTGTTATTTATTAATTGGCTTAGTGTTATCCCACTGAAGAGCGGGATAACCCAGGTTCATGGATTCCCTGGAAACACTATCGATTGCACACATCTGTTTATGATACCGCCTACGGTTACCATGGACACGCATAGAAAAATCGAAAAGTCAACATTCATCCATGGACCTTTCTTCTTTCAAATGAGTTTTCGATTGTTCCGCATTTGAAATAATTAATTCTATCTACGACGAATGTTTCTAATGGGAATAAAACGTTTTATGTATAGGATTATGTACATACTCAAAACCGAAAAAGGTACATGTGTATAAGTATAGATAATATAACTTAACGAGATCTCGTTGAGAGTGAGAGAGCAGCGAGACTTGTTTTGGCCCTGCAAATTGTCTTTAATCATTCTCTGTCGCCATCGCTCCCACTATATTGCCAATACAATATACAAAGGTCAGGCGAGAAATGAACGCGACGACGACAGATCCAGGTGGTGAGAATACTAGTAAGTACGATTTTCAATAGGTTTACACTTATAAACATCATTGTTTGGGGGTAGAATATTGTAAATCACTTATACCGCGTGAAACCGCGAAATGTTTGTGCTACATAGTTTGTCGCACGATGTCACTTCTGATCTAAACTCAATTGACATAAACACAACACGATATATTGGACCCTATTTTACTATTTAAATATTTAATGACTCACTTGATTAAGTCACTATTCGTTGATGGACCAACCAATCTCTTTCTCAACTCTGGGCGTTGCTCCTTATCTAAAGTTGCACAGTCTTATACGAGGTGCAATATCCAGTTTACTCTGAGTATAAGTTTACAAATCATGCGAGATTCACAATAGCGGCTTACAATCTCATTAGGGAATACAACCGTTGCGATTTACAATTTGCATATAAAAGAGAACATGTGAGTTTAGGCATAGACCCTATGGTATCGCGGTATTCGCATGCGTGTGTTTCTGATTGTAATACCATTTTCTGCATCGACTCTATGATTTTTATTTATTTTCCATAAATTTTCTCTTTTCTCCTGAATCGGTCAGTTTCTTTTTTGCAAATTGCCTCATTTACCAGTAAAACGGACACTGTCAGTTTCTTTGTTGGAAACTGGCTGATTTACTGCTAAATCAGACAGTTTTTTTTATTGAAAACTGACCAAATTTACTGGTTAAGTTTTAGATCCCAGTTATTTTATTTTGGTGAACGCAAGAGTGCAACTTCCTCCATGGTTTTCAGTAGAGACCTTTTTTCTAGTGGCAAGTCTCCAGATCAGTAAAGTGGTGGAGTGTCATTTTATTGTCTGACGTAATGCGAGAGGGAATGCAATAATTGTCGTGTACATCCGGGTCTGTTTCTTTCTGACTATCATACATTCATACGTGTATTCAATTTTCCGTGTGGCTGATGATTTAATACCTGAAGGTTGTGACTGAGAAGTAGTGCCCTGTAACTAGAATACTTATAGCGAATCGAGAAAAGTTTTACTATATGAGGAGAACGTATATTACACACATTCACCACAATTACAAGACGCGTCACGTCGCGACGGCCACTTTAAAATGCGGCAGTCGTCGCGCTGCGCATGTGCGAGATATATGGGTCTCATATAAACAAAGATGGCAACTTTGGCTGTTGCGCAGATCAAGGAGTACGTTACCAAGCTTTAATTAGGCATTTTGTAGATGGTTGGAAGGTATCGAAGGAGTCACTGGCGGTAATTAGTTCAAGTCGCGTCCAGGTCAAACCTCATACTTGTGATTTCCATTAGAAGAGCGCATTGGATTATGGGAAAATCAATGTTTATCAACACAAATGTCGCACATGCGCGGCGCGACGACTACCTCCCTTTAACAATGTTTTGAAATCAGGATACCCGTCACCGAAACGGTGAGATGGAAACTGCCCATAATGCGATTACACAAAATATTGATATTATATTTATTGTTTATAAGGTTCAAATTCAAGGTTCGAATTCAAATTTACATGAACTTGGAATCTCGTCCCGGATGTGAGTTCAATGACCGGGTGAACTGAAATATAAAAAAAAAAGGATTTAAGGGCGCTGGTCGTTGCGGCGCGTTGTGTTCGATATAAGAGTATTGATAAATGAAATGAAATGTACAAAAAAATGGTAACTGACATTTAAAAAAAATCGAATTCTGTATCCATATTTTTCCATACTTAATCTTTGTATCAAGTAGATTGGTAAAATGGCTTAGATCACCAAGCTGGTTTCCATGGAAAACCCATACGCGCACTTGTCGCCATATTGAATTAATTGTTAGTAGAGCCGTCAACACGGTGGGTTGTGGGGAAAATCGATGTGGTTAGCAACATAAATCCGGCGCACGCATGGTAAGACAAACTGCATCACTTTAATTAATACAAATCTGATTACTTGTGATATCGAGAATCGTTCTATCTTAAATCGTTCGGTCGGTGTTACTCGGAACGTCTAGGGAACATCGATGGATGTTAAATAGAACACTACCAAATAATTTATATTTTAACAGAACAGAACATACACTTTTATATTCTTGCTTTGTAAACGCCCCCTTTCTTGGACGTCGAATATGATCGTGTGTACATTCCAGGGTACGAATCTGAAACATAAATATTAATGAAACGAATAACCGAAACTTATATTCTGTAATATGTAGACTCTTGTCACGTGTGTATTACGTGTTAAAATTTGAACAAAACCAAAC